TCATCTGCCCTATCAGCTTAGACTGAAATCTCTAAGAATGTACAGTAGTCGATATCGGCTTTTGCGGGGGGGATCTCATAATGGTTTACCAGATTCTGAAGAACCCAAACCACATTTGCCGTCCGCTGCTGGAATTGAACCACAACACTAAACTAAGAGGTCACCCTCTGAAACTGACAATTCATTATAGCCGACTTGAATGCCGTAGAAATTTCTTTTCTCTCCGCGTGTGTGAGTCTTGGAACGCCCTCCCTAATTATGTCGTCTCTGCTCCCAATCTGGCGATGTTTAAAAAACGTGTTGACGATGCATTGTCTCACTTACATTTCATATTATGACTTGTTAGCCAGGGGCTACAAACGCAACCAAACGGTTTCTTGCCAAACGCCTAACCAATGGATTTATGGATTTATACGTTTGATATGCGAACATCTCCGCTATTCCACATAAGTCTAAGGTGAGTCCACCACAACGCTTTTCACTTTACTATGCAATTGATTTTCGCAATAATTTCCATCCCACGGGACTTGTTAAGCGATGCTTTTTTACCCGTAATAAACCATTGTCATTGTCCACAGTAGTCCTGTTGAGCAATCGATCATGCCTGTACTTGTACGTCTCGTTTCATCGGGAATAAAAACATTTTTATTTTTTATTGCTGAGTTTAATACTCTGGAGCATTTTTCTTCCTGTAGGTCTTGTTAAGTTGTGCTTTTTGTCCCATCGTACCCTATGGAACTATTTGCTGGTTTATTTGGATTCCCTAATTCAATTACCCAATAGACTTTAACCAAATCGGAATTTGCGATCCCCAAGAGAAGGACGCTGATACAGAATGACGGTTGTTTGGCACCGAACCGTCCATTGTGTACTAGATTTAAGCAACTTTGAGTCCTTGTTACTTATTATCTTTCCCCATTACCTTTCAACCATTCTTCTTGCACTGCAAAGTAGTTAGCATCCGCCACCAGCTTATCTAGGAATATCGACTTGGAGACCAGCAGTAACAATGTGCTTCCCAAGAAAACGACTTAGGGATGATCATGCAGTACTATCTTGGTAGCTCGAGACAGGCTGAAAAGGCATCAAAAAGAGCCAGTCGAAATCTTGGACTCTTACGGAGGGCTTTCGGTAATTTTGAGCCACCAATTCTTCCGCAAATCCTGAACCCGTACGTGAGGCCTCATGTGGAATATGCGATCCAGGCCTGGCGTCCCTGGCGCAAGCGCGACGTCGATGCCCTTGAAACCACAAAGTAGAGCGACCAAACTCGTTAGAGGATTGTTTCATCTCTCCTATCAACGCAGACTCCAATCCATGAGATTGTATAGTGGAGAATATCGACGTCAGCCAGGAGACCCCATCATAGTTTAATTAATACTGACGAAGCCAACTCGCTCATGTCGCAATCTGTTGCAGCTAAGCCAAAATACCAACTGTAGAGGCCATCAGCTTAAACTGGCCACGCACTACAGTTGACTTGATTGTCGACGCAATGTTTTCTCCCCCCGTGTGTCCCATACCTGGAATGTCCTTCCGACTCACGTTATCCTTGCCCCTACATTAACACTTTTCAGAAAACGCCCTGATGAAACACTCCAACTTGCATTACATGTTATAGTCCGTTCCGCTTGGAGGAGGAAATAACGCAAACCTAACCATGTGCTTAACGGCCCTCTCCGCAACGTGGCGGTGAGGATACATACAGAAGTGTCCATGTGAGTAGCCTGGATGTAGCTAAACTGGATTAACATACCACATCTGTCAAATGAAGTAACACACGAGTGAGCGTTGTCGTTTCCTTTTTCTTTTCACGAATTTCCTGTACTATAAAGGCACTTTTTACTACTTTGTGTGTGCACATCCCATTCCCGCTTCAAACTATCGTCATGCATTAGTGCATTTAAATCAGTAGACGCTTAAAATAACGATTTACTTATTCGATGATCCTGCGAATTTTAATGTTTACTCCAACCACCCTATGGGATTTGTCAAGCACATGCTTTTTTACCCGTGATAAATCTTTGTTCATTGCGCTACTTGCTTATACTCTCTTGGTTGGCTAACTCCTCATAGCGGTTAGCTAATGATGGCGAGAAAGCACGAAGAAACGACCCGGAAATTTTGTCCGCTGGCGTGTGACGTCATTCTAGCCATTGGACAATGGAGTAATCCTACTGTGGATGTTTGTGAGTAGTGTAAATGCTATCTGATCTAGAACTGGCATAAATTTAGTAGGGCTCTCGGTTTTTCTCCGCTGTTTCCGCCTTCTAATCCTTTGGGACGTACTTGCTTGTTTTAGTGTTTTGCTTTCTCGGTATGCGGCGTCCGATTCCGGATTTACCTCTCACTGCGGTCTCCATAGGACAGCCAAAAGACACCTGCACTTACAGAGGGATCATGGGCGGCTTGCGCCGTATTACCCACAGTGCAATCCGCACATATCATATACAGTCTAAATCCGAATGAATACGACCAGAAGACATGCGGATGGGAGCCACGTCTCTTCAACATAGCCATCACACATTACTTCAACACGCACACAAGTTGTAATCGTGCCTAAGTGGGGAACCGTGCGGTGGATAGGCCGTAGTCCGCCACACTGGATGCATGGAAGCACTTTTGAGCCTAGCACGGACACGAAAACCGTGCACTTCGCCTTCCTTAACAACGACAAACTGTCCCCTGGACCCATTATAATCGAGGTGGATATTTCTTGACAGGTCACCATGCAAGCTCATTTTCGGTTATTTATCTTTAGGCAAAAGACACCACATTTAAATAGTTAAGATAAGAAAGGAAGGATTGAGTCACCGGAATATCAAGATGCAAAAATGCGCAAAGTGGGTGTGATTGGTTCACACGACCAATATTAGTACCTATGGGGCCGCTCAGTTAGGTATTAGTTTCCCTTCCAAGCCCATGCTACACCGAGTGATGAATAAACTGTCTGTGGATGTCACCTTCTGTGTGTACCAATTTACCTGTACCTTTTGGACAGTTACAAATGTCGCACCATGAGACATTTGTCCAAACGCGTCTGCCACCACCATGCATTTTGGTTAGGCTGAGGAGTGAACAAAACCTACACCACCGCGATAGTTGCGCACCAAGCCCAAACGAACCATCCCGTCGTCATCATTAAAGCCTTTCGTCCGATCTACTATGTGAAGGGTGTCCATTCCAAGATTATCTGATGCCGAATTCTTGCACTGGACTAGGCGATCGCGATTCGTTTCAACAATCCCCGCCTTGTGTACACAAACATTTCTTCAAGGCTTTGGGTTAACATGACCAGCTGTCGTCCTGGTAGCTTCCATGTGAAGGATTCATCCCCACTCTGGGTATTTTGACACCTTCAGTTTCCAGTGAAGCAATCAATCCTTTCTTATCTTCTATTTAAATGTCATGCATTTAGTCTGACGAACACTCGCCGAAAAAGAGCTTGTGTGCTACGCCGTCTTTACATGAATATAACGGGAATTCTATACCATTCGAAGGTCACAATTCACATCAAGCGCAGGCAGGCAGTGTATATCATACGAGAGGTTAAACATGTCGAAAGCACGACGGTCAGACAGTCCGTCAAGTTTATCCTCAGGCTATATATATATATATATATATATATATATATATATATATATATATATATGGCGAGAGAGCCGGTGGTGCTCTGAGGCTGGTGCTGGCTAGATCCTGACAGATGGTCTGCCCACTGCTGCTACTGTTGTGCCATTTGCTCTTGCCCTGGAAACCTTCTCCTGGCGACCGCTGGGTGGGAGCTGGGTTACGCCTTCTCCCTGTTAAGATCCAGGACACCAATCCGCATGAGTCAGTGAATTGACCACGTGCTAAACCCGCTGCCTTTCGAGTGAACATTTAAGCGAAGGCTTTGGCTGAGGACCCAAGTCGTCCTCTTATCAGGAGTGGGCGCCCTGCCAGTATCCTAATCCATCCTCTTCGGAAGTTAGGAAGTGATCGATGGCCCTCTTCCCGTAAAACCTAGCCAGGGGAGACAACAGAGCTACGGTTTATAAGCTCACAGCTCGATTAAGGTAGAGCACGAGCGTCACGCATTGTCTCTGACGGTGGGAAGGCACCTTCTGGTATTCAATGGTTTGCTACTGTCCGCCTCAAGCCACGCAACCTCTGGTCAAATTGGCGCAAACCCGCCAAAACCCTCCTGCGTCTGGCCTTGGTCACAGGTGCATATATACTACGGTCGTAAAACATATATGAATCATTTCAGTACCTCAAAGGCTGCGCGTGACGTACCTCAAGCAAATCCCAATCTGTTTATGCAATCACATTCCCGAGCTGGATCTGCCCCGCGCTGCCTTGTGGGTCAAGCTATAGAGCCAAAGGCTCCGGGCAGAGTCCCTCAAACAACCCCCCGAAGCACAACTGCCAGCTCGCGTGCGATTGCCAACCATTGCAATTGTATGCCTGCGCACAAAGCACTCAGCATCGGTTGCTGGAACATGCGCACATTATTGGACCGGAACTCCAGTGAGCGTCCCGAGCTTCGCGCTGCACTAGTTGGGATGGAACTGGCGCGCTACCACATCGATATTGCAGCGCTCAGTAAAACCCGGCTGGCTGAGCAAGGTAAGTTGCATGAAGCAGGTGTTTGCTACACATTTTACTGGGTGGGCAACGCCGCCTCAGCACCACGTGATCATGGGGTCGGATCTTGACTTGGTGTTTATCAGTCCATCTCATGCGAATAAATCACTACAGCGCGCACTCGATGGTGCTCCGAATGGTCATCTATAAGCATCATCTAACCGATCAACAGATTCGCGTGGCTAAAGTTAGCGAAATATAGTCACAGTGCCAGAACTCGACAAATCAACCTGACAGGTTGGCCCTTTGAAGTTGTCAGGTCTATCCACAAAATAACCGTTAACGACCAATTTTCCTACAAACCAAGCGACGTGTATTACAGTGTTAAAGCGGATAAATGCGCAATTTGACGTTGGTAGAAAAAGCACGAACTTATCAAGTTAGTTCCAATAATTTAATAAACGTAAAAAAGGAAACAACTGAAGTAAGTTGGGTAACTTCATGCGGACAAAGTAATCACCCGGGATCGTTTTCATTGGAATGTAAGAGGAAAAATGGAGTTGAGTAAATCTGAGGTGCCAAAACAAGCAGTTGGTATAGAACAACGAATGACTAACATATAAAGTATGCGGTGTGTGCTCGGATACGGTTACAGGAGGTGCAATGTCTTGCAATAAGAAAACTTCTAATCCACGCTCTAAAGGAAAAGCGGAACACAAGTTGTTATATGATTAAAAGAGCATAAGATTAGTGTGTAATAAATCAAAAAGACAAGTACAGTATCACATAAGCGATAAGACAAGCAAAAGCTGGTGCATACACCGAGAAAACAGGAAAGCATCTATATCATTTAGAGTGAATTCGAGTGGTCATCGCTGGGATGTGCAGCGTTCACCGAGTCTTCGGGCTCATCTTGCTCGCGAATGTTAGCAATTTCGTGCCGCCGGCGTTCCGTATTCAGACGCTCGTAGAATGAATACAAGTTGTATAGAACTCGCATGATAGCTTTTGGATCAGCGCTCACTATTTCCTCTGGTTGAGCAGGTGGTTCACCAACACCCGCCGACAACATCAAATCGAACGCCAGCCTCACATTGTGCAATCGCATTGCCTCTGTGCTGGGCGTCGGGTGGTAGACATGAAAGGGGACGAAATAGCCCTCCAAAAGACCCATAAGAAGGACGAGTAGAACCCCATCAGAGAACTGTTGAAAGAAGGAAGAAGCACATTTAAAGGTTGCCTTGTCTTCTGATCACAAACTTTTCCAACCGTTGGCACAGGCGTCCTGCAATGAGTAGCATATGCCCTCACTCGAGCATTTAAACTAGATGTGGATCGTTGATAGTCAAACTACGAATGAGTAGACGCGCCTATACCATGGTGTAAGCTATGGTAATCAAACAGACAACAAAAACATTAAAATAAGTCATGACGATGTTCACAAAGAGAAATTCTCTTGCAAAAACGTGCCAACTACCAGCACTGGCCTTAACGGATAGTAAGCACTTCCGACTGAGAGTAAGCAATGTATTATTCAGAGCAACGCTCGTTTGATGTGCATGTGCTTAGCCAAGTTCAATTGACCGATACTGACTACAGCGCCGGAATGAGGTGAATCAGACAGTCATATCTTATGTGGGTATAAAAGTTGACAAAAGGGTAAGTAAAAATAAGGCCAGATGTAAAGCGTTGGAAAAATTCCGAACTATCCGATGGTAGGAGCGCAGAGGTCAGAGACAAAATATCGCATTCGAATGTGCCTAAACAAACCCCAAGAATGGTGAAACAGTTTATCGTGGGGTATTGATAAGCAGCATGCCATCGATGCGGTAGTGTTGGAATCCACCAAGAAAAGAGAACTGTGTAGAAATAACAACAGCCGAGACCACAGAGAGCATAACTACTTACATGACTTATTCAGTGACTGTGAGAACTGGTTATGAGTCGAACAAATCTTGTGGCGGCAGCTTTCAGTTTGGAGAACGTACATACTAAAACATATAGCGATCTGGGTCGTTTATTCTGTGTTTGTATAGTAACTGCGTCTGAATTCGACAGCTACCACGTACCATAGGCGGCCCGGTGGGGCGACACTCGAAATAGTGCAGGGAGAACAGGTTCACCAGCAGTGAAATAAGCCACAAAATTAGGAAAGGAGAAATCAGATAGAGAAATATACCACCAATAATCCTTGGTAATTTCGGAATAGAATATTTGATTTACGGTGTAAGAAGTTCCGCGTAAAACCCGGAAACCGTAATTTGTTTTTACACGACACGAGGTACCACAAAGTGATGTGACAGATGGAGTCAAAGGTGGCACACTGCAAAGTACATTGTGAAACGGCGTAGCGGTTCCAAGCACAACCGGGCAAAAGTGTAGAGGGTGATAAGAGGTGAGTTCTCGCAAATCAAATCGAGATGTGCAACAATTGGAAAACGCAAACCGAGGATCCTTAGCTCAATAGTCTGTTCCACAATGCAGTGAGGAGTCGTGGTAAGTGAAGACTTTGTGACTGGTTATACGCAAACATAATTGCAATATACATGTAGTAATGGGTAAAGAATTTTCGACTGCAATAACTGACTCATCGGGTGATCACAAATGCCTGGAAGTGGGTTTGAAGAACTCGTACTCTGATGGATTGCGTCTCCTTAGTACGAGACCGGCGCCCACAAAGTATCAAGTCCTAGCCATTAGACAACTCTACAGCCCACCTTGGTGTTAGAAGAGGCCACCAAACGCCGGACAATGAAGGGCCAATAGTGTAAGACAAAGCAACAGCTAGAACCAAAGTGAGTACAAAAAAGCTTCAAAGGCCATCGCGGAGACTGAATTAAAAATGCAAAGTGCTACGTCGCGAGTGTGAAAACGATCATCCATCGGTCGAATTGGAAGCATGGCGTGTTCATTGGTTGCGTATGTGTTATCAAGTCAACCGGCACGAATGGTCCTCGTTTTGCTATGTAAAACGGACCAATGTAACACGATAGGTGGCTGAAATTTAAGGGGTACAACCTGTACTTCATCGGAATAGTTAGTACGAGGAAATGTAGATAGATGGATCGCGTGTAGTTTATCAAGCCTTCATGTGCACAGAGTCAAGGACCACCACATAGAACGCCAACAGATCTCGCAGCAGAAAGGCAACATCCATTTAAGCCTGGAGATTCATTCAGTGCTTGCATGCGACTACCGAAAAGGCTATACAGCATAGACTACAGGTAAGATTAAACACAAACATGGAGGCGTCATTTACGACGTGCTCATTGGATCGCAAACAGGGTCCGCCATGTAAATCAGTTACGCCAAACGCTGTGCCGGCTAGAAACGAGAAAGCCAGCCAGGCTGCCTTTCGACCTCCTTGTGGGATATTAACTTACCGAAACCAGACAAGGAGAGTCAATCAATCGTATGACGCATCCGATAGTCCAGAACTAACTCCAAAGACACTTCGACCCAGGCGATGGACGGACAACACACTTTTTAGAACTGCAAGTCAACCCAAGGTTATAATCCTACACAGCAGCCGCGATCACTAGAGGGCAGATGTCAGGGAGAGTAAAAGCTCTCAGGAAAACTCATTAATTAAATGAGAAAACAAATTCAGCCAATGGTGTGCAACCGAAACATCAAGTCGTATCAGGAATGTTCGCGTTCATACAACATACGCACCAACCTTCCCATTGGCTACCGGAACGGATCTACCACACGGATCAGCTGATTTAGCTGCTCTGATCTGTGAACCTTCCTTGTCCGTCGATCTCACACTACTTGTTTCCGTTTCGGTAGCTGGTTCTGCAACACGCACTGGCCTCCAAGCGTTGCCTTCTGATTTCCGGCTGGGATTCGGAGCTAGCAGAAAACCAGTTCAACCGGAATCGCAGGCAAAGGGATAGATCATAACACGTATAAATCAGGAACCAAGTATGATATCGCGGTACAACCACAAACGGGCCAACCCCAAAGCAGAATATAGGGGACAAAATGCCGCATCATATGAGGTGACTTACGTCTTTCGTCATATCAGACACAGTCAGTGTTAGCAGGCTTAAGTGAGAATTCACAAAGTTACTCAACATTTGAACCACGAGGTGATCACGCGACAGTAAATCTGACGGATGAGGACCTGTGTGGAGAAAAGGAAGTAGATACGCGACGATGTACAACAAATGAAGTGTTTTGAAAGCGGAACCACGGGTCAAGGGTCGACTAATGAACCAAAGGGTATGACATAAAACGATGATAATGAACAGATAGGTAGCAAATCTGTGACATCATGAGGAAGGATTTAGTGCACGGGAATCAATTCCGAGTAAACTGCCATTCTGTGGCGTTACTATGGGTCGTTGCAGACCACATAGACTCATTTGTACAAAGTACGCTCAGTTGTTAAGGATAACTGCATAGGTAACTAACAGATTCAACCAGCGATATGCTCCGCAGATAAGGTCTCTAGTAGTTATCGACGGATTCCAGAAGGGAAATTTCAATCGATCAATTACAAGCGATAACCGTGAGACAGATTTTGTTGAGCTGCATCGTTCTGATATCGAAAGAAGAATCGAGAAAATGAAGGAAACAATGATCATGTGTCACGTATAAATGCCGGATGAGAATCGGCAGTATAAAGGCCCCCAATGACGATTTATCAATGACGGACAAGTGTCCTGTACGGAAAGTCGAGACCATTATTAGGTCGAGCATAGAGAAATAAGTAAAAGTAAAAAAAACATAAAAATGAGTCTGGATAAACTCGCCTAGCAGATTGTCACTTGATGTCAACACAGGAGAAAACAAACAAGACAGTATTGAATTTGTTGAAGTTAGTCAACACGCTAAGGAAGGCTGTTAATAAGATGAGTAGACTGAGAAACCCCGTGGTAGCCTATAAAGTGGCAACCCACTACTTCTTATGTCTGTCACATTAGTCCGAGTAATCACAACGTCTCAGTTATTCATCAGTTGTAAATAGTAATAAGAAGAAAGAAGTAATAAAATTCGCGGGTGACCGGGCTCGCGTACCATACTGTGTAATGATAAGAAAGAAGAACGTGGCGTGCAAGTCGCGATGAATCTAATGTAGAGAGAGTACCTAACTGATTTGAGGTTCACGTGTCTTGTGAAACACCCATTGTAAAAACTGCGAACAAGTAAGAATTTGAAGTGATATTCGGTTAATACCAAGACGAAAAAACATGCAGAGCGTGGAGGTGTCATCAACCAATGGTCAAGATGTCGTCATTTTGCATCGACTGACGAAGGGTAGGAGACAAGCATAAGAAATGGAGGAAGATAGGGCTTATGGTGCAGCTGGCGAGCTGTCAATGAGCACCACCCGGAAGGATATATTACGTACTTGACATAGAAAGAAGGATGACTGCCGGTACTCCAACGAGGATAGTGAATAAAGAACGCGAGGGGAGAAACCACATCGAAGACCGACAAAGCGAGCCGAATCCGAAGGGGATATTGATGCAACGATGCCAACGAGAAGTGAGTAGTGGAAGATGCCTAGAGAAGTTGCTAACCACGGCATAAGCAGTACACCGGTACCCACTACCGACGCCTCGTTGCCACGCAACCAACAACGGTCGAGCGTGGACTGTGGATACTGTGAGGGTCGCTTAGTCCCTAGGCAGGCTAGAATCCACGCCCTCGGATTACAAGGTAAACCTATGATCCTTAAGGCTACGGCAGTTGCTACCCAAAGAAGAAGCAGCCGTTAGACTGCTAAACCGCGTAAATGTGTTATCGAACGCCATTACGGGGCACTATAAATGCCGATAGCAACAACTGCCAGGGAAACCACACTAGCTTCTCCAAAATCCATACAAAACAGCTAGCAGACAATCAGCCAGCAGCTTCACAGAACGGCCTACGCAGATTATTGTGCATGGACGAGCATTCATGGAATGCATTAGCCGAAAAGCGTGTGCATTAAAAACCTTTAGGACGCGAAGCTTTGCAGACGAGACGACTGAATACCAAACGTCTAGATACAAGAGTTAGTCCCAGAAGTCTTGTCCGTTTTTATTCTGTTACTCGGGGACCAAAGGTCACGCCTTCGGGTGAGAGGAGAGCGCACTAAATTACCAACTGTCCCATAGTGGAGGTTGATCTATTTCCAAATGTCTCTCACCTAATCACATGGATGTGAACGACCGGAGTGTTGGCCGTAGGCAAGTGCACCTGTACCCAGGTGCACTTGCCAGTCTCGTCCATTGTGAAAACGCTGGATGAGCGCGGATGGTTGAGTTTGAGTCAACTACGGCGCGCTATGGCAAGTTCACCGATCGACCGGGCTGGCTGGAACAGATGCAGACGTGAGAAATCAAGACAGCAGTGCAGCATTACCGGGCTACTGCGGTAAAATTGTGGTGGCGTTTGGACAGGCCTAAGTGACCTGAGCAAGGAGTGTTCAATAGGTGCTTAGTGTTATCCTATCTAATGACAAAAGGGTGATTGGCAACGTTCTTGTAGACTGGAAGTTAGCTGCTAACAACCCACCTTAGCAATTAGAGTTCGCAAATATGAAATGCAACGTTTTGAGAAAGGAGTCTTGAAAAGTTATGCCGCTTAATGACTACGCGCTGCTGCACAGCCTATTCTCCCGTCACAGTCTTGAGCGTCCATTCCAACATATTCACTGATGAGGCAATATTTCATTAGTATAAAACTGAGACACTGCATTTCTATGCTATATCTAATCCTCCCGGATACTGAGATTCATGTATTCCACAAAGCGCGAAGCCCATTGGCTCGCAAAACTGATTGACAAATCGTGGGACCACAGCACACGCACGTGGGTTCCCACACATACTGTCCACCACAAGCCAGTCATCCTTGTGGTAACTTTTCTAACACATATTGCTGCAAACTGCGATTATCTAATTCAAAAGAATCGATACGCCACGCTTTCACGGTATGTATTCTTATTGAAAAATCGTTGGACCTTTTATGTGATCGGTATGTTATTGTTCTGCTCTTCCATACGGCAGCGAAATATGGATGCTTTATGGGAAGAATGCCCACCATATGGAGCGCTTCCATCAATAGTGTCTGCATCGTATTATGTGTAACGGCTGGCTTGACCGAGTTGCAGACACGGAGGTGCTCCGAGCAGTGGAATGTGTGCAGTGGACTGCATACATCTGAGGCACTTGGGGTGGCTCGGGGATATTCGCCACATTGATTCTATCCGAATAACGAAACAGCCGCTGGGAGGCTGCACGGGGGATAATGCAAGGTACGTTACCAGAATGTGATCAAGATTTTATCATGAACTAATGTTGATTCCAGGTGTTTAGAGCCGATGAGGGTGGATCGACTCCGATGGCGAAAGCAAACGGAGAGGGCAGTTACCCGGGTGCAAGAGAAATCACTACTGCATGCGGAAAAGAAAGGTGGGTTCAGAAAACGACAGACATCAATGGTGGATAGCCCATCGACGTCGAGCGCATTGTGCTGCAGCACATGCGGTGACAAGTGCCACAGCCAAGCGGCTTTAGCAAGCCACCAGCGTCGCAACGTAGGGCCAAGACTCACAGTCTGTGTGT